CCCCCCCCCCCCCCCCCAAGTGGTCCCACTCACTCCATTCATTGCCTGTCTGCAATTTCTCTCCCAGGCAGAGCCTACCAACCCCCTCCTGGTCCCGTGATAAAGAAGAGCCTACACAGGGAACACTAACACCATCAATCCTCCTTCATTCATGACCTCAGGCTGATCTCAAACCCAGCCTCCAGGACAGAAGGCTGGAAAGACCAACCCACTGCCATACTCAGAGCTGGTCCGAGAAGGCAAGCATCCTCCCAGCCTGTGTAACTTGCAAAGAAAGAATTAAAACAGTAAGATTAAATTAAGGGATTGTACAATTTACTGCTCAGAATTTACTAATATGCAACCTAGGAAGAGCACCAAGGGCTATAAACATTTCAAGACACTTCACTGTGTTTTATCACTATATTAGAGAGTACTTGCCTTTTAACACTTATTTAAGAAAATAAAAAACTTGTGAGCAGTAGTTTCCTGTGAAGACATAAATTAGCATGTTCTGATCAGCCACACAAAGTGCAATATAAGCATCTTCATGTCGGAGGCATACAGACCAAAGCATGTTTACCTATGTTCACTGTGTTTGCAGAACGATCCAGGACTGGAAGTAGAAGGATTAACTGATGCTCTTGACATGAAGGTGCAGGTTTGAGATCCAGCACATGTGGCTCCAGTTCTTTTCTCTGCCCCTGCCTGCATGACCACAGGTGTATCACTGAACCTCACCGTTAGCTCAGCTCTGCAGCTATGAACACACGGTAAAAACGCTTCTTCGGTTGCCAAGATTAATTCACATTGTGCTTAAGAGCAGGTAAAGCGGTTCTGTACACGGAGGGAGGCAGTTTGACATTTCAGAGGAGCTAAACCACACTAAAGAGCTTACATTACAAGGGCTCAACCCTGGCAGACACCAAGTACCCTCTTCCCACTAAAACCATCAACTGCCGTCAGCGGCTCCCTCAGCCCTTCAGAGGCACGTTACCCTCACCACCCATGCCCCATCAATGCAATTTGCCTAATCACTAGTGACAGTTCCATCCTAGGTGTGGGATGAGGCCCAAACACTAAAGCAGACTACACCAGGTGTCGGAATCCGGCCCTGGAGCTGTTAAACTTGGAGGATAGCTCCTTGCAACAGGCTAAAGGAATCCTCCTGCTGAGCACTGCGAGGCCCGAGGACCGTGTGCCTAACGAGGCTGTATCCCCACTCATATTTTAGCTTGGCAGGTCTGGTGCTCCTTTCATCTTTTGATTCAGGTAGCTCTCTTTAATTAATAACATTTCTGTGTCGACACAGGGAACTTTCCACCCAGAATGAATGGCCCTCTCTCATTAGAACCACGACTTGTCATGATGTATTCAAGAGCAGGAGTGTGATTCATTCCCTTGTCTGGGAACGAGGGGTGTTGCTGGGGGGTGCGGGGGGAGAAGAGTCTCTGTAATGAGTGACTGATATTTGCTGAAGTTGATATGCGACTCTGTCGGCTTGAACTGCCTTGTCAGGACAAGCCTTCAGAAAGGTGATGTTCCTACTCAAGAGGTTTTCCTCATTAAAGAAATTGCATCTTAACAAGAGGGAAGGGGAGGGGTGGCAGGAGAGCTGCTGTCTCCCCGATTCCAGCCTGGTTCACACACACCGAGCGCTGAAAGCCGGTTGATCCAAACGCAGCCAGTAGAGGATCAGTGCCCCATTTCTGAGTCCTCTCACGCAATGGGCTCTCTGCAGCACCAACCAAACCCTTCCAACAGGGAGTCTCCTGACGATGGTGCCACAAGCACGACAAAGCCTTTGGTGCCACAGCTGAGGACCTTGACTCATGCTGAGCCTCCGTAAGCCATTCCCAGATGGTGTCCTCTTTTGGGCACCTTGTGACTAGTGCTGCCTGTCGCCAGAGGGAAGCCAGACAAACACCTCTGTGATCTTCCAAGAAAGCTCCAACGTTCAAGAGAAAGCAAGTCTGTAGCCACACAGTGCCTCATTCCCTGCAGATCCCTGAGCCAAGAGAAAGCTTCGCAGGTCCTTTAGCAGCTAAGTTTCCAGCTCGAATCCTGCAGACTCAGACAGTGCTAGACACCATCAGCACATGTACCTTGACAATCACTACTCCTCTGGCGCTTTTCTTTGAGATAGGTGTGCTACACACATTGCAACTCCTGGCTTTGACAGGGCTATTTTCCCACCTTGTCCCCACATCCACCACCAACAGGCTTGTATATTCTTCCTCTTTGTTCCATCCACCTGGCATCCAGCCTGCTCCCCTCACTCCGACTACCAGTGCCCTGGCACCTACCAGTGGCACCCACTAGGAACACCCACAGCAGACAGGTCTGTCCAGAAAGCACCATGCCCTGCCTCCTCAACAGCACAGGCAGACAGAAGGCAAACTAAATGCTCAGGTCACTGCTGGAGAAGCCAGGAGCAAAGCTGCATGGTTTCCCACCAACAGCCGAGCTAAGGAGAACAGAGGATAGGAACTCCAAACCACACGAGACACTGGGTATGAGCACTCCAGCTTGCTTCACAGGCAGCTGTGGAAGCAGCTGTCATTCCTAAGGAAGCTGGGAAAAGGAGCAGCAGAGTTGGGAATGGACCTGCCCCAAGCCACCGCTCCCTAAGCCAGGAAGCACTGCACTTGCCTCATTGATCTGAATTCCCCTGGAACTCAGTGGGGTGTCTACCAGGCAATGCTTCCACCAGCACACTCCAAATGTGGAGAAGCAGCACCACCGCTCCTGCCACTGCTCCAGAGCCTTCCATGCCTGGCATATAGTCTCCACACCGTGGCAAAGGGCACCAGCTACGTCACAAGTCTTGTAGGGAAGTAAAGGGTGATTCCCTGGAACACCTCCTAGATGTTCCACATCTCTGAGGCTCTACCTCCCTGTCTGAGCGGCCTTGTTTCAGCTCTCTGCCTTCCCTCTTTAAAAAGAGATGCTCAGTTCTGCTTTGCTAAACCCTATTTGGCAATGTGTCTAAACACACGCAAACTTAATTAGTTCAGGAGGGAGACTCGGCATTTGTGGTGACGGATAAAAGTAATGGGAAATGAGACAAGTCAGAGCTGGCAGGGAGTCCTCACTCAAGCCTCATTCACTGGCACGGCACTAATCAGATGTGACGCTACACGCTGCTGCGCCCAATCGGCGACGGAGCGGTGCGACGTGCTACTCACCGAGCGGCTGCAGCCAGGCTCCCGCTATCCACGTGCTTGGAGACGCAAAATGTATTTTCTGCTTTGCCCTGGAGACGTTTCAGGATCGAATTCTGAAGTTAATGGTTTAAAAAAAATTTTTAAAAGGAAGAGGGAGAAATGAACCACTCGCTGCAACCTCCTGGCCAGGAGTGGAGTCTTCCTTTGCAGCCGACTAGTGAGGCATGATCCATGCAATAAACCACAAGTGATGAACTGAGTATCTCTGCTCCCGCGCTGCATGTCCTGCCAGGCCAACTCACCCCACAACCCCTACAGCTTGCCAGAAGCGGGGCTCATCTTCACCTCAATTTCCCTATTGTAGAGTGTTGAAGCTACAAAAAAAACCCTCAACCCAAAACACCACTCAGAAGGTTGCCCATTCCATACAGACACCAAGTTAGGATGTCGTTATCTGGGAACCTTGGTATCTCTCTGTGAAAGGGATGGAAGGATGGACTTTGAGCACAGACAGTTCTGTTCCTCAAAACCCTCACAAAAAGCTGGACTCTCAGAACAGCAATACAAGAGCAAAGAACTGAGAAAAGAGAACAGGTAAAAACCAGAAGTTTAGCACATCCCTGCAGCCGTCTCTGTGCTGGTCTCTAATAAAAGTTTAAACATGATATATGAAGAAAAATAAGCCTCGCTCTTAATTTGAACCAGTAACACACGAATTGGCAATATACACCAGCTCTGGACACGACCCCAGTAGAGACCCAGGTTTTGACTCAGAAGCTCACATATCGCACTCCTGTCTGGAGCACGGCTAATTCCTCATCTCCACTAGCGCCTGTGCTGCTGCTTCAGTCCTCCTATCTCACGTCTCGCTAATCACACCAAGAGCTGCCACTCTACAAAGACCATTCCACAGGGAAGAACTGTTGCTGATTGTTCCCAGGCTGTGTGCAGTTTATTTAGGCTTCCAACCTGGGAAAACTAATGTCACTGTGAAAACCAAGTAATGCTACTAACGAGTTGTGGATGTCAGTTTAGCACGGGATGTGTCAAGTCCACGCTTTAGCGGTGTGATAACAACAGGAGTCTTTACCCAGTGCTCTAAGGAAATGGAAATGTCGAATCAAGATTACAGGACTCGAAGTGAATTCAGCAGAACATGGCACTGATCCGCAGACACCTGACAGATCAGACTAATCTAATTCTTCGACATTAAACTCTGTTGTTTTAAATAACATTTTTAGGTTGGGGGTCTAGTTATTTTCACAACAAAACACGCACATACACTGACACCCACAGATCCCAGAGCAGGTCCCCAGCCGGTACTCTCTAGATACAGTCGCCCAGTTGATGAAGATGACCTTAGCAGTAAGAACAGCAACAAAGCGTGCCAGACTTGGCTTGTACTCTCTTTCCAAAGACTATGACCGACATCCAGGTAGTGTGCCAAGATGAGAGAGAGAAAACCTTGCATGCAGAAGTCTGGTAAGGACCATCGCTTGATTTGGGCGTACAGAAAAAGCATTCCATGTATGTGCTTAGAAATATCAATCCCTTTGGAAAGTATATTGGATAAAAGGGAAAAACATCACAAAGCTTCAGTTTAAACCTTTCTTGGGATTCTGAAAGGATTCATTCTCTACAGGGAATATTCTTGGCAGTGATCTTGCACTATACCCAGCACCTACCTGGCTTCTTAAACAACCCTCCATTTCCAATTATGCACGGCAAACAACGATTTCCCTAAGAAACAAAGACTAGGGACAGTTGGAGGCTTGTAAGGACAAAGACATAGGCACTACAGGCACACATGCAGCAATAAAGCCCAGAAAAATCTCCCTCCCCTTCCATACTCACATCACTTTCAAATCCCAGTCTCCACAGGTCACAAAAATCGACTTGACGCTGGGATCTAAGAGGCCTTCCTTCGCCATCCACTCGTCAACCCTCTGAAAGGAAGGCAAGAAAAGGGGATGAGTTTTGCAGAGACAGGCCGAGCCACAACAGTTAAACTCAGATAAGCTGCTTGCAATCAAGAGAGAAGAAAATTGTGATCTTATCCACCCTCTCCCTCTCTCTCTTCTCTCTTTGCTTGCCATCTCAACAACAGCACGTTTGGACCTTTGAAGATTTCTGATAGGAGACATCAGGCAACCAGAGCAGAGATGATCTTATCAGACACCACAGCAGCTCTGCTTGTGGAGGGATGGAAGTTGTGCAGCATTAACGGGACAATACAACAGCACTGTTACCTGGCATTCCTCCTCCACTTCCCCTCTCCCTGTACCAAACGGGCTTGTAGTGAGTGCAACTGTGTCCTGTCCAGTAAGGAGAAAACATAGGCATCCTGAGCCAGCATCCCTCACCTACAGTGTTTTTTGCATGCTCCAGCTCATATAGCTCCAAGGGGATATGGAGAAGGGGAGAAATGGAAGGGCTGGGCACACACAGGCACTGTGTGGCAGTCACAAGCAAAGCCACGCATCCCCTTCCTCTCCAGGCTGGGTCTCCTTCTTCCTTACAGTTCTGAGGAGGTGCTTGTTCAGGGGACAGCGTGGATTTAAAGTGAATCCACTATTCCTGACCAATTTCCCATAGGGACAGACAGAAGCACTTCAGAAATGGGCCACATTAATCTAGAGGACGCACATCCACCTTGGGGGATTAACCAGGAGGAACTAACCTAGACTAAAACCCTTACACAGATACTTATTCCAGCTAGAACTAACAAATGATGTGCCCAAAATCTTCTGTAGGCAGGTGGCAGGCTATCAGCTGCTATTACGCAGCCTCACTAGCAGCATTTTCTTTGCTTCAGCAAGAGAAACCCCTCATCTCCCTCGCTCAACACCTTCAGCTTCTGAATAAACCAGCCTGCCGCAGAAGCTGCCTGACCCAAATCTCACTTTAACCTAGAGACGTGCTGCTGTAGGAACACCTTTTCAGTCCAAATAAAAAATTCTACAGAAGTGTTTCCACAGTCTAAGCAGCTCCTGTAGAAACAGAGCGAACCACTTTCTGTAATACTCCAGTGGTGATGTACATTCACCTATCCAGGCAAAGAGTGCCGTCTGGGGAAGCCGGCACAGGCTTCCATATGCTTAGGGACACGCACCACTGCTATGTGCTCCCAGGAGAACACCAGGGAGAGCTGGGGGTTCGCACGGATGCGAGATGTCACCCCTGCAGAGCACCACCTTCATCCCCGTGCCACTGCCGCAGCCTTTCCGGCAGCGGATGGCACTTCTTGCTGCAACCAGTTGTCAACAGCCCCCTGGAACAAAGCTCCCCCAAAGCAGCATCCAGCCCCTCAGCCACACTTCTGCCTCCCCTGGGCTGTGGGATCTTCCAGCCAGCCCCGCACAAGACTGCCCGGAGCGATGGACAGCAGCAACAACCTTTCTGAGTCCCCTGGTGTGAGTGCCCATGAAGTGCTGTCTCCATGGAGGATTTTAAAGCCTTTAATTTGATTCCCTCAGATAAGCAATTGTTGCAATTATTCTGATTAGGAACAATTAGGTAACACAGCAGTGGAAATCCTGACAGAGACAATGCATCGAACAGCAACCTGCAGCCTGAGCAGGCTCTGCTTGAGGAGGTTTCCTACACTATTTGACTACCAACAAAAGCTATTGATGGAGAAATACTTCCAAGGTAATTAAGCCCTAAATGCTGTAGGAATCCAACATTAAGCAGATGGCATTATTAGGGCTATATCTGCATTTGCACATCCTCCAGGATTAGATTTTAGAGGTATTTTCTTTCTATACTACATGTATTATTGAGCATTTAAATAGGTAGAAAAAAAATAATTTAATAAAGTGCTGAGTGAGGGGAAAGAAAAATGAAGGCAGAAGCTCCTGGAGCAGCGGTCTTGAGCAATGCCTTGGTGCTTGAAAACTGGCTCAAGCAAGAATCGCCTCTTCTCCTGTCTACTGGCAGGAGTTTGGATATCTTGTCAGCACCCTTGACATGAACAGCTGGAGATGACAGATCAATGGTTCAATACTCTCAGCAGCGTGTCACCAACGTGACAGCAAATGTTATTCTAATGAAGCTGTAATCATAGTCAAATTACGCGGTTCGATTCTCAGCAAGGGGAGGGTGCAGGGAACGAGATGAAGAGGGGACGACAGGACCGGAGGTCAGAGTTCAGGAACTAAAGGTTACTCTGCTTACCTCAAGCACTTGCTGGAGGCTTGGCTGCCCATCCACCATGCCTTGAATAATCCCAGTCAGCTGAAAAGAGAGACAAACAGAAAGCAGGCATCAGAGCAGCACTCAAAAAGATCATTAGAGAGGTCTCCTCTCCTGTCCATCTGGCTGCAACCAAAACATGCTCCTGTGACCCACATGGACATTGCTGAGGGGCCAGCCACAGCACAGCGACTCTGGCAGCTCCCCAGCCACAGGCAAGGGCACAGCTTCATCCCAAACACAGAAATGCGGGGTGGCTCCTGCCCACGCTATAAAACAGCCAAATCCCAATGGGGCAGGACTCGCTTGGGGAGCAGTGGTGCCCTCTACTTCACCTACCGGCACAACGGCCAAAATGCTGCCCTTTTTCAATACACATGTCACCAGCTTTGATGTCGCTCTGACTTACACAGGCAGTGGTAACTCCTGGGGTCTCTGGGCATTCCCCCGTTATCATGATGACACCCAAACTGCACCGTGATAGATGAAGAGATCACTGCTGCTGAGCGAGACCCAGAGTGGACCCAGTCATCCTGCCCCGTGCTGGGCAGCCAGCACGTGCATCTTCCCACGGTACACCACAGTATCCCTCTGCATTTTGAAATTGCATTTAAAGCAACTGAACGAAATCTGAAGAAAACACACTTTCTTCCAGAATCCTGGTCCACCCTATTTTTCAGAAGGTTCCTTAGGAAGAGGTCTCCTGCCAACAGACAGTCCCACTGACTGTACCCAGACTGCTTGACTGTTTAAAGCTAGACACAGGCATAAAAAGATGTGGTCTCATGGGCCTGTGCTTGTGTCTGCCCAGAATAGCTTGAGGCACATGGAAAATAGATAATTTTTCTGTCTGCCTTCCAACTGACAAAACCGTCTTTTAACATATTGGATATCGGAGGTCAGTAGCTTGCCATCAATGCACCCAAGTAATTAAAAAAATCATTATTAAAACAAGCGCACACTACAGGATTTCACTTCATACGGCACTTTCCTGAAGCTACACATCTCGCAGGGTTTCAGAAAATAAAGGTCAAACACAGCCTAGGAGCATGCCCTGCTGCCTGCACACGCATCCAAGCCCCCAAAAGTCATAGCGTCCAGTGGAGAGGTGCTGACAGCCCTCCCTCCACCCAGGAGTAACTCTTCCATGCCGATCAGCTCAACCTACTCGTAAAACACAAGCCCTCTCACAAACCACAGGGCTCTGCTTTATTATTGCGTGGCAACTGAAAGAAGCTCAGTGGTTTCTACCTCCGTTTCTTTGGCTGCTTGGCTTACAGCATTGAACTCGGAAGAAAGGGGAAAAAAAAAGAGAAGAGATTAAACTCCAATTAAACTGTAATTACATTTAATGAATACCAAATACCTGACTCACTGAATAAGCTGTAAGTGGAAAGATTATTTTCTCATAGTGACTTCCATGGAATAGTAATATATACCTTTTAGGGAAAGTATTTTAATTTTAAGAATGCAGAGTTCCTCTAGGTGGGTTTCTCAAGTTCATCAAGTCATTATGAGGTGGAATTTTAAGGAAGTGGAGGGACACAGACACTCTTTTATATTCCAGAAACTGTTTTTATATTAATCTGTACTTTAATTGGGTAACAGCTGCTACCTACAGACTTCCCATACACTGAGAAGCAAATAGATTTGAGAGATTAATGCACAGCTCTTCAGAGCAGTTTCTAAAGCTCACTGGCTCGGTTTTTGCTTTTCTTGCCATCTTCCTCTCCATGCATTCTCCTGGCAGAGGTGGACAGCTCTCGTACTGCAAACCTCCAGCTCTGCCTCTTGGAGGGCAGCTCAAATCAAACCTCTGGAAGTGGCTGAAAGATGGGCTTTTGGGAAAGGATGACAGGCAACCTCTTGGCATCACAGCCAGCACCAATGTAAATGGCTTCTACCACTCTGGATAACTTTAGGGCTGCATCTGTTCAGCTCCCCACCCCTGATGGCCATGGCAGGATGGAGTGAAATGGCCTCATCCAGATGTTTCCCATAAGGAGGAGGGGGGACGAGAAGGCAGATGCAGAAGTCCCACCAAAGAGTCTCTGCTTGATCTTGCCCAAGACTCCTTCCCTCCTCCCCTGCCAGGCCAAGCAAAGTACCAACTCCTCCGTACAAGAACACATCACCAAGCACACACGAGTGCAAGATTCGCACTGCAGAAATCACACAAAACCTCCTCCATGGGTACATTTCAGTACAGGTCAAAGTGCTCAAAAGGGACAAGATTTCGCCTCTCTCTCCCCTTCTGATCCTTTCTGTTCTCAGTCACGTCCATCTGTAACACGCAACCTTGTGCATTGGGCCTCTGCAGCGTTACCTGGTCTTGCAGCTTTCATAAAGTATAAAACCCACGAAACTGCACAATTGTAAAGTTTCACTGGCGATCCCAAGAAGCACATGGTACTTGGGAACATAAACAAGCTGTAAGGCATTTATCTTTTTGTACTTTTATTGTCTGTTTCTTCAGGGGAAAAAAAAAATCAATAAAAATTAATCATAAAAAACAGAGCAAAGTACCATGAAAAAGCCTGTACAAGCACCTTCTGTGTAGAGGGAACCTTTCACTTAAGCTCCTGGCATGAACCTCCTTTGGCATCAGACAAACTACTTGGATCTTCTAAAAGGGCATGATGAGCTTTATATACCTAACAACAGCTTTTAACCACTTGCAAGCACTTTCCACCTTCTCTGTCTAAACATTCAGCACACCCCTCATCGTAAAAGCCTCACAACCTGTTGTTTTACAGAAGCGGGTCAAGAGAAAGGGAGAGCAGACGAGGGCTAGAGAGCAAGCCGGCACTGTAAGACGTGCTCCTGGCCACTGGTGTGGGAAGCCAGAGGAACCTTCAGTAGCCAGGGGAGCGCACAGACACACCAAAAGCTAAGCAACGGGATGCCTTGAGGGTGACCTCCAGCTCTCCACCCTTGCAGACACCCTTCTTCAAGAATGAAGAGGAAAGTGAATGGTAATCCGGACCCGAGGAGTAACATCAAGCAACCCTGGCAATCCTCCCACACACCGAGCTGACCTATCTCTTCCCAGCAAAGGCAGCGAGGGAAGGGGAAAGGGGAAAGCAGCAGCACAGCAGACAGGCTCTTGTGTAGTGTCAACACCACTGCTTTCTTAGAGAGTTTATCTGGGAAACAATCGTATTTCTACTCCAAGACAGTTTGCTGATTACCTAAGCACTTGTCTCTGGTGTACAATCTGATAATCAGGCCTGGTCTTTCTTTGTAGACAAAAAGGCCAATAAATCTCACCCTTCCTAAGTAGAGGTGCCTAGACAAAGCCCGTTACTGGCATTTAGCAAAATGGGTATTTTTCAGAAAACATAAACCAGCTGAAAGTCAATGGCAAGCACCGAAGCTGTGCAGGCAGCGGCTCTGCAGGAGCTGGACACGCAGCACATCACGGCTGTCCCCCCGGGCTCTCTGAGGAACCCACACTAGTGGCACAGGGCTGACCCCTACACCTCCTAGCAGGAGCCACCTGACCCCACAGGTCTCTACCTGGCCAATATAAGTTCTGCAAAAAAGCAGCTGCAAATATGAAAGGGTATTTTTGCAATGGTTTGGTAAGGTCCTCAGCATGACCAGCTCACCGGTGGCTCTCAGGGCAGGGTTTCAAAGTCAGCCCCAGGGATGGGGTCCAAGGACAAGCCTACTTACCCCTCCAGCACCATCCCACTCCCTGGACCTCATGGCAGGCCCTGCAACAGGCTGGGGATCGCCAAGACAGGAGAACCAGGGGCCATGCTGGGGACCCAGCAGCACAGGCACGCTGGGAGGCTTCCCAGGAGCCGGTGGCTTCCAGGCTAGGATTAAAACCAGCTCTCCGATGCTGCTAATAACAGAGAACTTGCCAAGCCTGGTGAGTTGAACCATCCTGTGCCACTAATACACACCAGGGGGGCTCTGTGATCATTTTGCCTGCTGGTCTCAGCACTTTCATCCAACTCTGGACACAAGACATCAGACCAAGGTCCGTGGCAGTCTGCGGCACAACCCTGCAGCTGGGTCACCCACGCCTGTCCTGGGGACTTCTGCAAACACATGGCCAGCACACACACAGCTTCGCTTGCTCAAGGCCTCCACACAGGAGAGACAAACCTGCAGTGACACAGACAGCTGTTCCAGGTTCCCGTGAGCAAGAAAAGGCAGAGAAACCGGCACTGTGGCATGGGAGCGTTAGCGAGCTTGAGCACCTCGGTCACACGCCTGGTGTCCAGAGAACCTCTTGATGTCCTCAGGCTGCAGCAGGCTGGAAGCTCCGTTCAGCTCAGACAGCCACACCAAGCCAGTCATGCAGGCCTTTGGGCATCAACCTTCAGCAGTGGGGGAAGGATGCAACAATTTCCAGAAAAAGGAACTGTGGTGGGAATTGATGAGTGAGAGAACTTGTCTCTAGAATTTAGATGACATGTGAAATGGACATTTTGGGCTTTAGAAGATGACGTTGTTTTTAGCAAAGATCAGGTGCAAGCTGTGAGATTTATCACATTTGTACAAGCACATGTCCAGCAAGTCTCACGGGGGATCAGGACAGACAAAGTACTTGTCCAGCCTTCTAGCATTAAGGTTGCAAAACTGTTTCCATTATAAACCTCTGTTTTCACACATTTATAGCTTTCTGAAAGCCCCTCTCCTGGGAATAATGTTTTCTGTGCTTAGGCTTTTTTTTTTTTTAAATTTAAATAAAATACCTTCAGATGGTTTTTAGTTACAAGAGAATAAAAGAAAAGTATTTGTTTTTACAACATGGAAATATGGAAGGGGCTGGTTGGTCCTGGAGGGGACTCCACCTAACACAGAGGAGTCAGTTTTCACCAGGTTAGTACACATGGGACAAGCACCGCAAGGGCTTAAACCTGCAGCCACAGAGGACGAGGAGAAAACAGATGAGACCAGGACAGAATGAGTAACCTGGATACCCATAGTCAGTACTTTCAGTATTGAGTTGACCAGTATCAGAACAGTGGAGTGACAGGTGAAAAAAAAACCCAAAGAAAAGGAACTGAAACTTTGTTTTGGTGGCTACAGCAGAGAGGAAGAATGCACTTGCAGAACCAGTTAACTTTGTGTTGAATGAAGAAAAAAGAAAACATGACAAAAACACCCACCCTCAAAACAACTCCTGCCTACCTACTCCTTTGACCTATCAGGGACCAACATTTACCACCTTCATCCTCTCATTTGTATCCAGGGAAAGGTGGCCACGGCTGGAAAGCAGCTGTCCTCAGCAATGAGAGTAACCAAGTACCAAGAGGCCACTTATCCAGCAATCATTTCAAGTGCCCCACAAGCACGACATCAAAAAGAAAGTCTTAAAAATACAGACGTGAGTTACCCTACCACTCTGAAGGACTCATCAAATCCCAACAGGCAGGCCCACAGGAGTGTCATTTAGAGCCTCTGAGCCATGCAGCCGTACGACACTTTCTTCCCTCAGATCACGCTCTCTTTGACCTTCCCCACCAAAGAACAGCACAGCAAAATCATGAATTGCTCAGAGAGAGGCTACGGGATTTTGAGAATCAGCTAACACGAGTGCTTTTAGTTTGTGATGGTACATACAACTACCTCAGTTAGCAGACCACAGCTAGAGTCGTTTATGAATCTGAACGGAGGTCTTTACATGCTAATAAAATGACAGAAAAATGATTCTCCTCGTCCTTAACTCGAGGCTGACGTGACACGCTGCCTCGCAGCCGCACTGTGACAAGGCAACCCCAACCCCTGGTGCAATGGAAACCTGCTTCCCAGGAAGACTCTTGGAGCACCAGGGAACCTTCGCACTTTACCTCTGTACAGAAGGGCGTAAGCTGGGGATGCACCACAGGCTGAACATACATGTGAAAGGTGGATTCGATCTCCATCGTCCTGCCATTCAGCTTCAGGATAGGGAATTCGATGATTTCCTGAATAGGGTGAAAAGAAAAGCAGCTGTTCATTTAAAACAAACAAAAAAATGAAGCTGGAAATGACCCTGCCTAGCAAGCTGGCTGTAAAAAGAGGGGGCTGAGAGTCCCCAACAAAAACAAGCCCAACATGAAGCTCTGCAACACGAGCGGGAAGGCGGTGCCGGCGCACAGAGCACATCCAACGCGTGAGCACAGAGGAGGGCGGTGCTGGTGCTCATCCTCATCGCAGCGGGACGGTTGGCAGGGAGGTCTCTACGCTGCAACTGCACACACACCGCCCACCCCGAAGCTAAGGAAGATGGTCTGGCACCACCCGCCCGCACTGCCCAGGGAGCACCGAGACATACTTGCAACGGGCTCAGGTCCGTCCAAGCAAGGACACCCAGGGGCTGTGTCCTCCCCAGGGCCAGTCCACCTCGCTGGCCTTCTGGAGGACACCACCAGACTGACAACAGGAGCTACTGGATGAAGCACCTCCTTCCCAGGAGAGGTCGAGGAGCACTGCTCGCCTCCAACAGAGAGAGGAGAGGAGCTGGAAGGATTCCCACCCCCCCCAAATCCATCCCTATGGGACATGACACACGTAGAAAGCCCTGCTTAATTTTCCTCTTTGTAGCCAATTTATGCTGATAGGGAAATAAAAACGTTCCTTCATCAGAAGAATGTTCAATTATTTGAATAATCAGCAATCAAAAATTTACATGGACCTGTTAATAAAAAGTTTAAACAAATCCAGTTGTGATGGATTTCACAATTATTAAAAAATATACATGAAATTAAAAAAGCCGACCACTGAATAAAAGCGATAAAATCCTTTGTGTTCACCCCCCTCCTTCTCCACTCCCTCTCCTCCTTCCAGTTTAATGTGAGAGGAGAAGTGACAATTTGTTTGGTGTCTTTAAAGAATAATTTGTCTATGTTATTTAATAGAGATGCATGGCACCAAGGTTCTGGAGTGCAAATGAGCCTGCTGAGTGATATCCACGCAACAAGCCTCTCAAATCACTTCTGGAGAGGAACAGGGAGAGGGAGAGAGAATAAAAAAAATATTGCTTTTTAATATTCAAAAACAGTTTGCAAAATTTAATCAAAGCAGAGCAAAAGCTAACATTTTTACCACTTTGACATTTTTATTAGCGCTTTCATAAATTTTTAAAACATGAATGGAATTAGTTTAACAACAACAAAAAAAAAAACTGCCTGAAAACATCTGGAAGAGACAAATAAGAAATAGTAAAAAATAAAAAATAAAAAACCCCAACTACTGTGAGTAAAATTAGCATGTGGGAAATGCAACCGCTGCAGAGGAACTAACACAGTTTTTGACCCTGGCTGCAACCCTCATGACCCACGGGCGGAAATTATCGTGAGGTCATACATTTGAGCTGATGACATCACCACCGCGGCAGGCAGCGGGAGGGCAAGAAGCTGGGTGGGTAAGTGGAAACAACGTATTTAAACAGCCAGCAGAAACACCCAGTTTCTATGGTGGCCAGAGCCGGTGGCTGCAGCAGAGCGGATCCCCGGGGCAGCAGAGACAGAGCCGGGACCGGGGTACGTGGGGAACACGTGCTGCTGAGATGGACAGTTATTAAAACCAAATTAAATCAAATCAAGTGCTAACAGTGCCCAGGTGCAGAGACCAAGGAGTCAAGCGGCGGAGGATGCTGGGCTCCCATTCCCCCACGGCCGGCTGTGCCACGCTGGGTGCGTGCCGTGCAGGCCTGCAGAGCGGAGGTTTGGGCGCATCCTTCCCGGCCGAACCACCGGGTTTCCCCAGGAGAGAGAGGAAACTCCACCCGTGGGCTGGAGGGGGGAGCAGGACAGAGGCAGAACACCTGAGCATTGCCCAGGTGGCCTGCTGTGGTACAGCCAAACTCACCAGCCTCAGCCCCACAGGAGGACCTGTGGGAACGCGAGAAACTCCATCCAAGAAACATTGGACACAGCGGATCCTTCCCTTCAAGAGCACAGAGAGGCTGCGAGTGCAGCACGTTTCTGTTCAGAACGGGCTGCAAAGTTTGAAGCCAACGGACAGGACGTCGTAACAGAGCAAGGCTTAACCCCAGGATAACACCACCCCATTCTTCAAACCGGGCTGGGGCAGCTCGTTGCCCCTTAGGTCTGCACCCCGCTCAGAGGGTGACCGTGGAAGCCAACAAACCCGCGGTAGGGCAAGATGAGCATTCCCCCTCCCGGAGATGGACACACACCGGCTGGATTTCACAGCAGGGCTGCGTTGCAAGGCGGAGATCGGTCCTGGGGGACCAAAAACATCCTCAGGGGCCATCAAGTGGCTGGATGCAAAGCCAGACTGAAAGACAGCCCTGCGCTGATCTGATACACAAAGGCGTCGCTCGCCTTCCACAACCGAAGGCAAAAAGCACTTCCAGGAGGGTCGGATTAAGACAGACGGAGGAAATAAAAAGCCTTACTAAAAAAAAAAATGTGGAAAATGTAACAATATCCAGAATTACTGCAGGTCTGTGGGAAGCGTGCGGCCAGGAGCTGGGGCGGAACCCCTGGAGTGACTTGAGCGTCTCGGAAGAAAACGCGGCAGCTCTTTTGGGCTTATTTGGTCAGTTTTTGAAGCAAGCGGTAAAGGACCTTTCCCAAAAGGCTGTTTATCGGCACGCTTCCTATAGCGGAGATTTTTTCCAGTCTCTGGCAGTGTTTGCTCCATTGGTATCTAAGGCAACAGATACCAGCCCCATGAAATCAGCCCCACTCCTCACTAACGATGTTAGCCAGTCCTGCAATGAAATTTAACCTGTGACACTGCTGTACTTTTCATTTAAACTTTCATTTGGAGAGAAGCAGTGTTTGGAGACCCTGCAGTTTGTCCTGCTAATAAAGACAAGTGTTGGGACCTTTAAAGGTGCCATTCATCTTTTGCCTTTATTAAATTCAATTTTCTTAAGCCCATGATACATCATGAAATTAAGAGTTGACATTCCTGCAGAAACAAAAATATCTATCAAACATAAACAGAAAGGGAAAAAAAAAAAAAGAACCCTCTATTACCAAGAATTTATGGCTTAAAGTTGATCTGTTTCCACTTTTTCTCCCTCTTTTTTTTTTTTTTTACAAGCATATGGTTTGTTTTAGATATCCAAAATGTTATTACAGATCTAGAATTTCATTAGTAATTATTATGAAATGGCGAGCACTTAAGACACACACACAACCCCCCAACAGACCATGCTGCAGGAAGGCAGCCGGGCACTCGCTCACGTTTCCCAGCAGCCTGGTGAGCTCTACATGCTCAGCTCCATCTCCACCACCAAGGCCCTTTGCTGTTTCTTCCCAGGTGGGAAAGGTGGACGTGAGCACAAGGGAATGAAAAGGAGACACTCACTGATACTTCTTTTATCAGAGTCTGATCATCCGTAAGCGCTACCTTGAGATCCTCACACATTTCCAACCACGTTCCAACCTCAGCGGTGCCTTGTGCCAGCAGTATTTGGGACTTTTAAGTCTTTTTTTTTTTTTTTTTTTCCCTCCACAGCTTTTCCTTAGAGCGCAACCAGAAGTTATGGATGTGCTGAAATAATGCTGAGGGTGTCCAGAGGCTCCAAACAGCCGCAAGCTACCAGAAGAACAAATGTACCCATTTGAATTTTGCGAGCACTGCAATTAGGTATTTTATTTAGCACTGCAGAGTAACTTGAAAGGAAATCCAGGATTCAAACCGCCAGCAATAAATAAGCAGCTTTTTATTTTCCTTTCATTGTCATGAAAAGTTGAACATGTTTTCTTGTTGAGAAATTCTGCACGCGGCTCCCAATTACAAGGCATTTGCATTTATATTGTTGGAACACAGAGCTTCTAAAATCAATATTAACACGCTTAAAGAAAAAGACATTGGCACCCTGTCCCTCCCCTCAGCTGTGCCCCCAAACACGGTAACAATAGGAACCTACAGAGCCGGAGGCTTATACATATCCATTACCAGGTCCACTCTCCTCACAACAATCTTGCATTTATGATTTCATGGTACTTCAAACAAATCTGTGTGACAGCTTGCTCAGAATTTTTGCCCCCCTTTTTTTTTTTAAAAAAAAAAAAGTTCCCCCAAAATAAGCGGTCATGGGCGTGACCTGGCTGTCCCAGGCCAGTGGGGATGAGCAGCAGCAGGAGGCTGCAGGGTGACTGCGGAACGGCTCGGAACTTCCTTTTGAGAGGGATTTGAAAAATTCATAAGGGCATGTGAAAGCAC